AGCCAGCTGAATTTTGGTTTTCCTTTGTCAAAGGTGGAGTTGGGCTTTAAGCTCAGAAAAAGCTAAATGAAACAGCCATTAAACAGTCATAGCATTATCAGTTCACAGGTTGACTTTACTTTGCTTCAGAAAATAAAAGCAGCATCATGGAAGCAAGAAGGGAGTGTCCAAAAAAAACTATCCCAGTAGCAGCAGCAGCAGTCCCATTGCATTGCCGCTTTATGGAGTCTTCAGTGAATGCAATCGAAGGATCTGCTGACGTCAGAAGCCAGCATGTGATCTAATATGCTGACTTAAGGTCATGACACGTGTAGCCCCACATTAGATGCTTTTCCATCTGTCAAGTTTCTATACTTTGGACAACTTATCCCGTCATCACTATTTTTCACGTATATTTCTACTATTACTATGAATACCTTAATGGTTTGAACAGAACAGGGGCAATAAAAAAGGACACATGCACGCTTACAGAATATAAGGGAATACATACATATACACCTGTAAAAAAATCAGCCATTATGGATCCTAATAGTAGATAATAAGCAACTTTTCTCCATGTTTTCCTCTGTAAAGAATTTTAATATACTATTTACATAGCTGGAAGGATGTAGAGCAGTGACATGCACACTGGGGATTTGCTAGAATTAGACACTTCCCTCCAGGACTACATCTGCTTTGAATAACTGCTTTATGTTAGCCAATGTAATAAATGCATACAATGATCATTACAGTTCCCTGTTCATGTGAGTAGCAGGGTGAGATGCTATTAACAATTTTTATTTGCACTGCTGTGACATTTAGATCAGCATTTGTAGACATATTCTTTGATTCAATATCAAAATGTACCATTTCTTGTCTGCCATTGGACAGGCTATATACTGCAGGAAGTGGCAACAGTAAATGCATTTAAATGCAACCCAGGGAGTTTCACTGGACTTTCATTTCCAGCCCACTTGGTGGAGTTACTTTATGTAAGAAGTCGAGTATGCTTACGTTTTAAGTGATTTTGTACTTTGCAGAGTGAGTTTTTATTTATCCTAGTAAATGAAAAAACAGGAAACAAGAAACAGAAAAAAAACAGGATTTTTTTCTGGCAAGTGATTGGATGATATAAGTCAGCACACTGTAACCTTATTCACTAAGCTGTTATTTTTCTTTTTCTTTGCCAAGTGACTTTTTACTTAGTTTAGTAAATGAGGTGAAATGATCAAATTACATGTGAACAAAATTCATTTTTTTACAAAATTTTCCTTGCACATGATTGCGTCTTTAATTCACTTTAAAAATGCACAAACACTACTCAGTAACCCTAGTAAATCAGGGTTAATGTGTGTGTTTGGGTTAGGGATGCACCGATACCTGTTTTTCAGTATTGAGTACGAGTACCAATATTCTTTTCTCGGTACTCGCCGATACCGAATACCAATACTAGAAGTCCCATTAAGGAAACTGGGTGGCGTGTAATGACTCGCCTTCTGGCTTCCTGTCACCAGGTGACGAGGGAGCATGGAGCCGGCTTTCTGGCCAATCAGGAAGCCAGGAGGCGAGTCATTACCGCCCCCTGGCTTCCTGGTTTGCCAGGGAGCCAGCTCCTTGATCATGAGGAAGCATGGAGCCGGCTTCACGGCCAATCAGGAAGCCGGGCGGCGTGTAATCACTCACCACTCGCCTTCCTGATACTGGAAGTTCCGGTATTGGGATAAGTATCGGGAGCATTTGGGCGAGTACGAGTACCGGTATCTACCTGTATCCGTGCATCCCTAGCTCTAAAATTACTTTACCTCTATAAAAGCTGTTCTAAACAAAACTGTAAGTACAGCATGAAGCATACCATCTGCAAGTCAGCAAAATCACTAAAGAACAGTGACATATGTCTAACTCTTGATACATTTTATACATACATATCCATAACCGGTAGCTGCAGTTCCGTATTTGTCATTAGTATTTTAGGTCTGGTAGGTCTTTAAGAACAAGCAGCTTTCCATGTTCACAAACCAGGCATCATTTTCTAACACAAACAGAACAGTAAACATCGCCGTCCTTGGAACACAAGGTTCTCTTTATAAAGCAGCTATGAAAAACAGGCTGAGCAAAAATTAACCTTGGATCTACCAAAGAAAGTTTAGTATTCCTGGCTAGCACTGAGTAGAGTCACATATATCTTACCATTTAAAGAAAACCTGTACTAAGGAAGTATGGGGTCTACATCTACTAACCTATTTTGAAAAAAACAGTTCGCTGGCTGTCATGTTTTTCCAGTGGCTTCAGTGCTTTCTGAGTCACTGTCCCAGGGCAAGTATGCAGGAGCTCTGAATTCACCCTGACTTTCTTGCAGTGCTTTCTAAGTCAATGTGAAAAATTTTCTAAGGTAGTTGAAACATTTCACTTTTAAAAAAAAGTGTTACTATGTGTCACTTACGGTAATTATCCAATTATGTGAAATGCATCTGCACATAATTGGGTGTTCAAAGGGAACAGGAATTTGCTTCTTACATGACTGGATAACTCAAGTGAATGTTTACACAATTTTTTGACCGATGATTCTCAACTCTTTTAGTAAATCATCCTCATTTTCTGAAGCCAAAGAAAGTCATGTGACTAGCATTCAAATAGAAATTAGCAATGGCAAAGGTTTTCTTTATTACCTGAAAGTCCTGGGAAGTGTAGCCAGCTGGGGAGGAGCAAGAAGACGCAAGGAAGCACAAGTATGGGAGACACTTTCACATTGCCCTGCATGGGCAAGGCGATAGTATCTCTTTAATATCCTGAAAGGAAGTGGCGGAAACCTCCTCAATGGGCACGCAGACAGTATTTCAAACCTGACAGAAAAAGCTCAACAGAGACGTAGCATTTAAAACCCCAAAAAAGCTTCTAACCTTTCCCCGCTCTATCTAAAACTAACAAGAAAGCTTTGCTGGAGTGTCTTGATGCAATTTTGATTTGTGCCACCAAGTTTGTTGATGTAATACTGCTATATGCACTACACAATGACACCATTACATAGATGTGTCTGGTGAGCCGGTCCTCAAAACTTGTTAAGGACCTACGTTAATTATCATCCAAGCTACAGAAAAATATATGTATGTCTCTTCTACTTCCCATTTTTTTACATTTCAGCTTTCACACAGATAAGAGATATTGATGTTCATTGACCAAACCAAGTATTTTAAGCACTTTTTCATATTATAAAGATGTGTTGCAGTTTTTACTCAGGATCTGAAAACTGTAATTACTTTATGAATTACGGTACTAAAATAGTGTTGTAAATTGTTTCCGGTGTTAGACTACAGAAAACAGCCATAAGTAAAAAAGGGAAGCCAGAACTATACTCACACGACAGTCTCTCTGTAGTGTTTTCATCAATGCCAGGTATGTCTCAGGATCAAAATATATTCCTTCAGGCATTTCTTGCATAAAATCCAGGTCTTTGTATGTGGGGGAAGATTTCTCCCGTTCTTTTCGAGATGCTCTCCGCTTATATGTGGAACCTTTGAGGTCATATGTATAATGCATTTTCAGGGACCGTGGCAGTACATTGTTCATTACAACAAGTCGAATATTTATTCCTCCAGACTGCAGACAGTATAGTCCATAAAATTTGGGCAGCAAGGTTCGGGGATTTTGATTCAAGTTCTAAATTCAAATGCACACAAAAAAAAAAAACAGTGAAACTTACAAACACCTTTAAAAATTAGATTTTTACTGTAAAATCCATTTCTTGTAGTTCATTGGAGGGATGCAGGATTCAGGCACAATTGGGTTAAACAGCAACGGAAAACACTAACAGGCCCACACAACAACAACAGCAACAACAGGACATGAGCCTGCCTGCAGCACAAAGAGCCACCTGAAGGACCTTATGCACGAAATTGGGATCAGATAAGGCCTGAGCATCCATCTGGTAAAATGTGTGAACAGAAGGCCAGGTGGCAGCCTTGCAAATCTGGGAAATAGATGCTAGATGTCAAAAAGCCCAAGAACCACTCATAGACTTAGTCAGTTGCACTTTGACAGGAAAATGACCCTTAAGACCATAAGTTTGGATGATGATTTGTCAGAGCTATGAGGATCACCAGAATTCCCTCTTTCCGGATCTTGTGAAGCAGACGAAGAAGGGATTTCAGAGGAGGAAAGGTATAGACACGACTGTACTGATCCCACAGAACTATCACAGAATCTAGAGACAAACCTGTTCAGTTTGGTATTTAAACTGGTTGCTAGAGTGTCCACATCAAGCATCTCCTATCTGTGACCCAGTTCCCGAAACACTCCCGGATGGAACAACTTCCCCTTGTGTAGGCACTGCTGGCTAGGGAAGTCCGCCTACCTGTGGAACTGTGCAAATGGGACTGCCTCGGATGAGGCAACCATCAAACTCAGGGTTCTCATGCAGAAGCATGTGAGACAGCTCCTGGAATTAAGAGTCCAAGTCCAGAAGTTGATAGCTAGAAGTTTATCTTGTGGAAGAAAACTCTGACTTGAGCTGTGTTTGGGATAATACCCAGATACTCCAAGCGAGTAAACTCCATTGCAGGCTTTTGAAGGTTCAGGATCCAATTGAAACATTTCAAGGTCCAGATTGCCTGTGCCACATTGTCAACCAAAACCTGCGGTGACCGCTCCCACAACAGGAAGTTGCCCATATATCTCACAATGGGGATACCCAGGGAGCTTAGCAAGGCTAGTACAGGTACCAGAACCTTGGTGAATTCTTGAGGTGCAGAGGACAGGCCAAATGGCAGGGCCACAAGCTGCAAGTGTGGGGACCCACAGCAAAATGAAGGAAACACTGATGAGCTTGACAAATGGGGATACGCAAGTTTAGGTACTTCATGTCTACATAGGCAAAATGTCTACCAGATAGAGGGAGGCTATCCAAAGGAAGACATTTAGGGGCTTAAAATCCAAAATGGGGCAGAATCCCTTTTGGTTTGGGGGATGTGAAAAGGTTGGAGTAGAACCACTGAAACCTTTTACCATAAGAAGTGGTGTGTTAACCCCTTGATCCAGAAGGCTTGAAAGGGCTGTAAAGAGATTTGCTTATCTGTGTTGAGACACAGGAAGGGTTGGAAGACATGAACCGCAGAGTGGGTAGGGAGCAGAATTCTAGCTTGTAGAATTCAAGACCTGGCTTGGGTCTGGCTTTTGAGGTTGAGGCCTAGGAGTAAAGAAAGGAACTCTTCCTCCCACTTCAGAGGGGTGGTAAGTTTTTCTAGCCTGGGGTCTAAGTTTCTTCTGCTGGAGTAGAGGGCTACTCTTACCCCAATGACATCCTTGATGATAGTGCCCAAAGCAGCTCCAAAGAGACATTGTCCCTTGAAATGGGAATATGCAAGTTTAGTATTCACTAATATGTGCAGCAACTGCTTTTTTGCATGCCTGCTCTACAGCCCAACATTTGAGCCAAAGAGTTCTCTATATGTTTACTAACAGGAGACTCATATGGGATATAAGGCAGGGAATATCCACCAACCAGTCCATGCAGTAGCTTAGAGCTGCTGGCATGAGTTCATAACATTCCACAAACAGGGGATATATTCGGAGGGCAACAGGATCTCTTTGTGTGGCCCCAGTCCATTACCCTAACATCTGACAGACTAGCATTACAGCCAAGGTAGGTTGCAATGCAGGTCCAGCCAGAGCTAACAATGTTTTAGAAAGAATCTTTAAATTTTTATTGTTGGGATCCTCAAAACAGGCACAGGGACAACAAAGCTCAAAATACAAGGTCACGCCTTGAATACTCATGAACCAGCTGCTGATAGCAGGAGATATTTAGATGACCAAAGTTGACCAGGTCACTGTAGGCAGCGAAGACCAACCAAGGCAGATTCTTGTGTCACTTGCGAGTAGTGGCGGAATATGTTACCCCACGCTGAATGGTGGGAAGCAGACCATGGAGAGTGCATGCATGAGACTCCACTTCTTGAATGAAAAAAAGAAAAATACTACAAACAGTAAAACTTTTCTTGGTGGAAAAATAATCCATCCTTCTAGGACACTAGCAAAAAAACTGAAGCATGCTGGTAGTGGAAGGGGTTACTCCGAGCTGGTCTGTTTCTACCAGCTTTCAAATACTCCTGCAGGCTGCAGAATATCCCAATTGTCTCTGAATCATGTGTCCCTCAAAGAAAAAGATAGAAATAAAGATTCATCAGTACACTAAAAATAATAGAGAAGTGCTGGGGAGGAAGATAAGGTCTAAAGTTGGAGCTGCAACACAAAACTAAATATGGGTCAGGGAAGAGGTCATGTGTAGCAATATGCATAGATACCATGCTTGGCAATCACATGGTAATAATAATTCAAGCACAGTCATGACATCTGTCAAAGTGTGGATTGAAACAGATATCCAACAAATATTAGAACTGTAATACAATGGCTTGGATAATTTCAGCTCTATTATGCTCTTTTAAACAGTGAACTTGTCTTGAATTCTGCTGATATGATTATTAGCATCCTTGCAGCCATGTTGCAATTTTGAAACACTAAATAAATTGATAAAACCTACCAGAAGGTACCAAGAACTTTACATAAAAATAGTGAGCAACAAGCAAAAGTAACATGATGTAGCCTGATATAACCTATAATCTTCCACCATCATTTTTTTTTTTTTTTACATTCTGTTGTACACTCACTCAACACAATATTCTTGAGTTAACTCACCATGTAGTATCCAGGAAGCAATTTCTGAAGAAACTCTGCCTCCTTGTGCTGTACAGTTTTGATGATAAATTCATCATCCCTGGTTACATAGAAGATGGAGCCGCTTGCACCTGGGTTGGACAGCTCAATCAAAGACTGACTGCACAGTGAATACTAAAAAAAAGAGACATTAATACTTGAGTTAGCTTGAACACTGCTGTAAACAAATCCTAAAAGCAGAAAGAGAAAAGTGATCAGAAGATCTGAATAGTACATGATTGTACAGAAACATGCATTACTGCACTGTCTGAGTGTGCAGATACCCCTTCTGCCACCCTCATCTTATGCAAATGAATGTATTTTCTCTTGTCCACGTGTATTGCTTATATCTTTATTGTTCTCATGGGCCAATCAAATTGTATATATTTGTAAACAACTAAATGTATCTTAAAAAAAAAAATAACAATAAAAAATATTGCCGAAAGAGACTATAAATACAGCAGAGAAGCGGTTAATGCATGGACAAGGCATATACAAACTAAAGATGCCTGGTCCTTTCATGTAAAAACTGCAAACTAAGGAAAGCATCTCTATTGCCCCAAGCAACCATTCACAAGTTGCCTTTAATGTTATCACAAATGTGACAACTGGCACCTAACTGGTTGCCGCTGGCAACAAATTAAACATAATATATGTAGAGCATAAGCACGCAATGTAGAATACTCAGGCAGAACCCACACTGTTTCCTGTGGTTGAGGATCAAAAATGTGAATTAGCCCTGAATCTATGTATGTGAACTGTTTTCAGGTCAAGGATACAAGGTGCACACACAAATTTCTGGAAATGAAAGGCATAAACGTGTCAATTAACTCACAAGAACTCTCAATTAGAGTTTAATGAGAAAAAATACTTATGGGTATTTAGGTCTAATTATATGTTTTCATGAAATAATTACCACAATCAATGGTTACAAAAATATCAATTAAAATAAGGCCAGAGATTGTAAAATGTTTCAGCAGCCTTTAACCCATTTGGTTTAAGAAGAACTGCAGTAGTATGATGTCTCAATGTAGCTACAGTATGTTTTAATGTACATTGATGCAGCTTGCATCCCGCTAAACCAGGGGTAGCCAAACTCCGGCCCTCCAGCTGTGGTGAAACTACAAATCCCATGATGCATCTCTCTCCGGCAGTCATGTCTGTCAGAATCTTGCAATGCCTGATGGGATTTGTAGTTCCACCACAGCTGGAGGGCCGGAGTTTGGCTACCCCTGTGCTAAACCCTTTAGAGCAGGCCTCGGAATTTCCCCTCCCCCCCTCGCAATTGGCGAGTGGAATGTCAGCAATGGTGCCTCGCCGGCGGGACTAGGGATGGGACACTACCGCTTTGGCGATCGCTCACTCGCTTCTGTTTTCTCTTTCTCGCCTGCTGCAGCTACAGAGCGGCCGAGCCCGAGAAGGAGAAGAGAGAACAGAAGCGAATGCTTGCCGTGGCGGTAGTGTTCCATCCAGAGCCGGAGCTAGCTCTCTGAGGCGGCTCTGATTACACCCGTTATCGCTCCCTCTCTCTCCTCCAGGCCACTCTGAAGCTACAGCGGCCGGGAGCAGAATTTGTACCTTACTTAAAGCTGAACTCCAGGTATAAAATATTATCCATACTTATATCCAGCTTGGCCTAATGAAATATGCATAGGATACACCTGGTCGGCCCACGGGGGGTTCCTGTAAAACAGTGTAGTAGTGCTGACAGAGAACTTCCTGGTCCTGTATCGTGCTCTGCTGAGAGGTTTCCCATCTGCTCTGAAAACACAGGGGATTGCTCTATTGGGAAAACAGTCATTCAGTGAATGCCCAATATTTTTTGCAATAAAAACAAGGCGTTCTCTTGATGGTAAAAGGGGCAGCTTGTGATTTCACCCTTTGTCCAATCAGAGAACTCCTTGTATTCACCCAGGATTTTAGCATGGATGCAGTCCCTGTTCAGCCGCTATTTTTTGGACCGGCAAAAGTCGATTACAAAATTGATTTTGTTGAATTGGGGGGGCACTTTACACTTTTTTTTTTAGTTTTCCTCAAAGAAGAGTTTTATTGTTATGGCACAGAATGACTATAGAGATCACTCTAGGGAAGTGACCTTTTTAACAACTTCAGATATGATCCTTACCAAGTAATCATCAGGTTTGATGCCAAAAAGCTCTCTGAAGTACCGGAATGCTAATGGAGCATATGTCTTAAATCTGAAGTCAGGATATCGATGAGCTGGGGTTAAATTGCTTCCTTCTCTGTGACACGGGATGGGAGAAAAATATAAAGGTAATTAAACAGAAGTAAGCCAATATTAACTGATTTAATATTATGTTTAGTCATTTACCATCAGGACCATTAAAATAGCAGTTGTTGCAATGACATTTGGTAAAACACATTTTTAGCACCAAACGTTTTAACCCTGCTCTTGGCATGATGTTCTACCATGAATCCACATAAGTACCCATAAAGGTAAGATGACAGTCACCTGGTCTAGCTGATTTCTGTCAGACTGGGCAAAAACGATTATATCAGATACTACAGGACACCTACCACTGATGGTTCTCAGGGAAAACTTGATGAGCTGGATTTGACTTTCTGGCCCTTTGGCATGATTTTCCAACAGAAAGCCAACTAGGTACCCATTAAACTAACCATCATTTGATATGGGTGATTTCTGCCACACTCAGCAACAATTGCCATTCCTATGGTTTGCACTTTTGTCTATTGTCTCCCTAGCAGCTGGTGCATTTCCACACTTCCAAACAAATTAGTAACACAATTAGTAGCAAATCAGACTGCCTCTCCTTCAGCCACGTCTCTTTGACAGGATTGCAGTCCTGTGTGTCTGTATTCCTGGGCAGACAGATTTCCACTCTAAACAGACACATAATTAAGAAGTGGTCAGGGTCAGCTTGTATTCTGTCACAGTGCTACTTTGGAGCATTTGAAGGAGGAATTTATAACTCAAGCTGTAGCTTAGCAGTAAATCTGTCGCACAATCTGTGTCACTGCTCCTGCTTAGCAGTACTTTGCTGGTCAACAGAATTGGAAAATGTCTCCCTCTGAGTATCTACAGACACACATACAGGATATACAAGTAGACAAGTTTATGCCCTCGTCTTTTAGGGCGTGTGACTGGTGTTTTTCTGCAACAAAACAACAGTCACTGCTAGGGCACATAAAAAACAATTGTTTCTGCCTCCATTTACACCGGATCTGTTGTGTTGCAATCCGGTTTTTCAAGGAGGAATGACAAATTAATGGGTGTGAATGGGACCAGTTCACACCACTGCGATCCATTCCATTGCGATAAAAAAAGTATGTAATGCTTTACTTTTTTCAGCGCAATGTAACGTAACAGAACAAAAACGGATGTAATCGCAACAAACAATACATATATGTTTGTCCATTCAGGACATGTTAATTCAAATAAAGATTGGCAAAAAAAGAGAAAAAAAAAACTAAACAAAGCAATGAAACAAAAGTCAACGGAGGTTGAAACTTCAAGTCAACATGCCCGCCACTGACTTGCGTTTTCCTTCCGATTTTGGTTTGAACGGGCCTCTTTTTGCCTGTTCATGCCTCAATGCAAATGCGATGTGCGGTGCAGTATGCTGAGAAAATGTGCAGACAGGCTACTCAGTGTGTCACACCACAGTTCACCACAGCGCAGTAAAGCGCTGGTAAATGATTGTTCACAAATGCAGTCAATATTTTATACAAAGGTTCTGCAGCCCCAGGATAGGAAAGATCCAGAGTCTGAATAAAACAATAGTAAAGAACAAAGCGCAACAACCTAAGTGCAGTATAGGGTAAAAACTTTAATAGAAAAAATAAATGGCACTTACAGAAATTATCTTGATAAGCCTGGAAACAAATTCTGTATTGAGCCAGTCTCCATGGCCTGCAGTGGGGCTGTGCGTAAGAGGAGGCAGGGAACCGCCTATCTGAGCACCTATCTAGATGATAAGGGCAGGAGAGCTGTGACTGCCAGAAGGTAGTAAAAAGTGGTATCCTGGAGCATCCTCTCTCCTCGCCTGTAGACAGATGGATTCTTCCAGGTTACAGGGTGAAAGTTGATGTTACTAGGCAATTTTGGAGGAACTACTCCTTTGTCAAGCCTAGGTCTTACACACAGTCCCACCTCTGGCCATTGAGAGTTGCTTGATGCAGAGTTCATACCCAGGCTTATGATAAGCTGATTATTTCACAGCCACAAAGTGCAATCTGTATTTTGTTCTATTAATGTGTTTAACCTATACTGCATTTGGGGTTCTTCGGATGCATGGTAGCTGAAAGGTCTATTAAACAGTGGGTGCCTGCTATTTCATAGCCATGCTTTTAGTGTTTCCTCACAAGAGACTTATTTAGGTAAGTTTTATGGTCCTGTAAAACATAATTCGTCAATATGTTATCTGACTTCTGACAACATGTTGGAGGATTCCCAGCTTTACAGTGACACAATATATTTTAGAAAAATAGATTAGAAAATGTATCACAGCCACCCTATCTGAAACTTGCAGGTACATTACAGAAATACAAACAGAAATTCCCACAGCAGGCACCACATTGTATGCATTTGTAAATGAGCCTATTTGTCTATTGTGTGATTCTTCAATAAGGCTCTGCAAAGTGCAAAGCACGCTTAACCAGACCAGCCAATCAAATTTCTTAATACTGAAATAAGATGATTAAAAGATGAATTCAGATTGCCTGCTATCGAGTCACTGCACTTCACTTTTCCTTCTCGGATTAACTGGTACTTTATTATGCAACAGAGATTACAAAGTTTTCAGACTTTTCAGAGTTATATAATACAAAATTAATTCTTGTTAGTCACATTTCACAAAAAAAGCAATGAAAATAAACATGGGGAGTATACATGGTTTAGGTAGTACTGATATTTATTTTATTATGTGAGTCACCTTGCTTTGCTCCTAGCAAGACAACACAATTTTCCATTTGGCAATACCTGGTGTTCAATGGCACAGTTTGTTAGTGTAACTCAAAGGACGCAGTGTAAGTATGAAGCAAACAGTTCAGTTCTTTCATTTTTTTGCCTTAGTTTTTTGGAAGAACAAACAGTCCTCTAACAGGAGGAAGGACAATAGGGTAAGTGCCATTTTGTCTATGGCAGGCTTTTAGTAAAGTGAATCACGTAATTCCTCTTGCTATCTCTTCTAATAGTACTGGTGCATAGTGCATGTTCTCAACCCTCTAGCAATCTCCACATAACTGTGAAGTTATGTGAAAAATTGGTGTGAAAATTCACTTTACTTACCATAATTTTCACTTTAGTTTATTTTATCCCTCCCTTCCGCATTGACTGGGACTATTTTTTTATTTATTTATTGACCTCATGGACCATCAGGACATTAATGTCAATGTATCCAGAAAGACTTGAATTTAGCTGCAAAAGTCAGATTTCCAGAATTTTCACAACTGCTATCTAGGGACTGCTGGAAATCTGTGACATGAGAGAAGAAGCAATAAAACAGCCTCTATACACAGGTACTATTAGATGCGGTAGAAAGAGGAAAATCATGGTTACTTTTAAGTGAATGCATGACCCAATGTGTGTTAAAATTGGCACATAGCCTATGCTAAATAATAGACAAGTACTAGAACCTTGGGGATAATAGCAAGCTTTGTTTTTTTTCTGAATTACAGCAACATGTATATACATAAAGTAAAAACAAAACAAAATAAAAAAAAACCATAAATACACAATGAGACAAGTTTCAGAACAATACATAAATGACTGTGTATGACTGAGCTAACGGCTGCACATCATCACTGTTTCCATCTTTCAGGATGCGGTTTACCTTGCTAACATCTTGGTACAGCTTAGGCACTGGTGACATATGTAAAACAGTTTATGCTCTGTACACCTCAAGTACTATTTTCATTTTGAATAGCCGAACAGTGTTCGGCTCACTTCACTTCTGATCGGTCATTCACTCGGCTGCCCTCGGCAGCTTTGTGAATAGACCACTTAGTCTATAGTGGTAAGTATTTAGTCTTCCACTACATGAGGTTACACAATTATGCATACAGTGAGAAAGTGTAATTCAATTTAGATCTGTTATGTGGCTGCACCGAGGGACCTGCTTCGACTTAATATTTTCCTCTGATAGCATTATCTCCTTTCCTATGTACATAGACAACATCAGTCTCACCACAAGTTACCATATGTACAATACTTAAAAATAACCAAATGCAAAAAAAGTTCCCATGGATTGAATCAGCTTGTTTTAAAGTGTATCTCCAGGCAAAACAGTTTTTGTTTTTTTTGCATAGAGAGGGGAAGGGTGAAAACCTCAGTTCAGTTTGTATTACTCTCTATAGGTCCACTGAGGGATTTATCCATCTATTTTGTCCTGATGATCATTGACAAAGAGACAAACAGGGTTCTTCACAAAAGGGTGAAGAGTTTGGAGAAGGCAGGAGAAGTGATAATCTAGGACAACATAGCTGATTTGGAACAATTCTCCAATTCAGCTCACTTTTCAGTTCAGCTATGTTGTCCTAGATTGTTCACTTCTCCTGCCTTCTCCAAACCCTTCACCCTTTTGTGAATAACCCTGAAAGTGATTCAAAATGTTGTATTTTTCACCAGAACAAGAGGTGAGGGGAAATCATCCAATGGGGGACACCTGCTCCAGTGACAACTGTTTAACCATTTGCTACTCTATCCAAACTAAAAAAAAAGTATATATATTTCATTTCTTAAAGAGTACTAAAGCAGCAGTAAACCAACACTACTGTACATACTAACTGCAGCAGACTAAGAGTCCTGCAGTAACCTTTAATTATCCTAAAGTAACCAGGGTCACAGAAATACGGAGTGCTTTAGTAAGCACATATAGACTTGATGACATTGGCTATTTGGCCTTACCCTCCTACCATTCAAAAGAAGCATTGTAAGGCACAGAGAGGCATAAGGGGTGGTGGACCAAAATGACCCCTTCATGGTCTGTAGCCAGTATTTGCACAACCACACATGCATTTAGGTATAGTTCTTTCAAAGGAAACATGTCCTGAGAGAAACCTGGAGACTGGCATTGCTGTCTTCTCCTTCAAAAAATGCTTGCTGCCTGATTGCCATACTGCGTTAATGTCTTTAGTTCTTTCTGAGTTTCTGCCCTAGTACAAGCATACAAATCAGGAGTTCTAACTTTAGTCAGTCATTTCTTGCATGCTTGTTCCAGGTCAGTGGCTCAGAAAGTTCTGAGGTCAAAGATATAGCATTACAGTCAGACAACAAACATTTTTATAATGAGATTAGCAATGGCAGTCTCCAGGTTTCTCTCAGGATAGGTTTCCATATGTTCACTGAAACTTATAGTGGCACAGTATAAGGCAGCGGGATCCTGATGCATATATGCATTAGTGTATCATGGTAACATTATTGCCATGTGCTTGTAATGGTGAGTTTGGTAATACTGCTTAATGTAACAGGGCTTAATGAAGAACTCCAAAAATGTTATTACCCTTGCACTGGGGCTAACCCCACACTGCAAGGGTTAAGTACTCATTTTGGTCTAGGAAGGAAAATAACAAAGTTATACTCACCCGATCCTCCAAGCCGTCCAGCTGTGACATCGCTCCCTCCTGCCTGTCTCTTCCTCTGCTGCATCGATGGTATGCCCCTCTGCGTCCTCACATCCTATACATTGTGTATAAAATATGATGACTCATGGACCTTAGACCGGTGCAGCAGAGGCGGAACGAGGCTGGAAGGACCGGTCTAAGAGCAAGCCGTCTGGGAGGATTAGGTGAGTAAAACTTTTTTATTTTCCTCCCTAGACCAAAATGAGCAAATAAACCTTGGTTGCCCCACTGCAAGGGCTAAAGAACTCCAGGAAAAAAAGTATTAACATTTGCAATGGGGCTACCACCGCACTGCAAGGGTTAACTGCTCATGTTTATGTACATTCTAAAAATAAAAAAAAAATGTATACTCACCAGACCATCCAAGCCGGCTTCTTGCTTCTATGATCACTGAGGCGTGTTTCCTCCTCGCTGCACTGATGGACTGCTCCTAGGCATCCTCATGTCTATGCACAGTGTATAGAGCGTGATGACACCAGGATCCTTAGAACACTGTAGGGAAGGGGGAGAGACGCTGGAGACACCGGTCTAAGAACAAGTCGGCTTACATGGTCTGGTGAGCAAAACTTTCTTTTTTAAGCACCTAGACATAAATGAGCACTTAACCCTTGCAGTGTGGGATTGCCCCAGTGCACGGCTTAGTCATTTTTTCCCCCTGGACTTTAATAAAGACTTTAATAAAATGAATGCTCCTGAATTTGTACAAAAAATGATGTGTTTCTGCAGAAATAATGTACCTGGGTAAAAAGACGCTCTCCACTACATAAAAGTCTTGCATAAGCACATCTCTGTCAGGTTTGGATGTAAGATTACCGACCGTGTAGTGTATTCCCAACTGAATTGTGTCCTTAATTGCTGATGATGCTGTCTGTAAGGAAAAGACAAATAAATACTGTAACATCTTTCACTTTTGAAAAAGTCTATATATATTATACTCTACGAGCTTTCTTCGTGTAGATATTTTTTTACTTATCATGGAAAAGTCTGAAATTTAATTTATGGGATCATTAGGTCTAAATTACCTGGCAGGAGAAGAAAAGAAATGCTCACCGAAATGACCTTAAGTTATGTTCTCCAGTGCTCAATAACAGAACAGCACAGAAATTTATAGCAGAAGCGGGATGAACAGCAAGGAATGAATACGTTTTTTAAAAAGGTCGGCAGTAGGTTAACTTATCAAAACAGTCAAACACCATTTGTTAATAGATATAGTGCAGAAGATTAAATAAGTATTTAAAGCGACCCTTTGCGCTGTCCAGGGCAAAATAACAAGTCTTCTTTAATTATCCGCTCTCAACTACCCCCCATACTTACCTTTCCTTAGCTCCCTCGAAAGTCAGCCCTGTGTAAGCATTGAGCCTCTCCACTCTAGAGTTTTCACAGTGCTAACAACTCTTCTTGCCCCCATGTGCAGTGTACGGCCAATCATCAAACTCCAACATATGGTCCTCCATACCCAGAAATACCAGTTTGTTTTTTTTTGTTCCTTGTGCCAAATAAAAAGGTGGGGAAGCGAAGGAAACATGGGCATATTCTGTTGAGGTTGGGAGCATTAAAGTTATCCTACTGCTTTACCCTGTAGTTTGTTAAAATGACTAATCCTAATCCACACACTCTAAAAACAGATTTGCACTTTTAGATGTAAAACATTTTTTTTAATTACCCAGCATTTTCAATTCAATATTGTTTTATATTTTATTTATTTGTATTTATTTTTTAATAAATATTTTTATTTTTTAACTTTACTGTTGGGGGCTTCGGAAAAATATTAGGGATCTAAACAGATCCCTGATAGTTCCCTTTTAAAATAGAAAAAGAGATTGAGGACACAATCTCTTATTCTGCAGCCCCTGTTAGGCATGAACAGGAATTCTGTTCATTCATAACTTGTGGCGATCGTATGTTTACTATAGCCACAATCATAAATGAACAGGAAGTGATGTAGAGCACTTTCTGTTCATTCATAATTGGGGACACAGTCAACATACTCTGTCCTCAATTTACAAGGAGTCAGCGATCAGCTTGTACGCGCTGTCCACCCCGACTCGCTGTCGCAGGAGGCTGAGCCGGCGGTGCGGGAGCAGAGCTTGGTCTATTTTGACAGCTGATTCATATCCCACACTGCCGGCTCGGCTTCTGTGACAGCTGTCTCCGCCCCCACGCTGCTCTTCATCCTGATTTGTCATGACATTGCGGCTCACAGCGCTCTCCTCCCCGCCCTGCTCAGCTGCCTGAACATTTCTTTCCTTCCTGCTGGACGCTCCTCTGTGCCAGAGGGGACACAGAGCAGCGTCCAGGGGGGAGGAAAGAAACTAGAGGTGCACCGCAATTTCGGCCAAAGGAAGGTACTTTAGGCATTTTGCCAAAAGTACAATTTTCAGCCGATATGTTTCAGCGGCTGAAATTTCAGTGCATCCCTAGTTATTACTAATGGTAATATTTACAAATACAGAATGCACACGCTATAAATGGTGCAACTAGTGATCCCTACAACCGCCTCATATAAAGTGCATAGTGCTGCAATAATGTGTACACAATGAAGAAGCTTAAAACATATGAAAAAATCATGTAATCAAAAGTATGTAAAACATGAATTTTTTTTTTGTAGTCTTAAACTTTCAAAACAATGTCCATATAAACATCCAGTGTCATAAATTCAGTGAATTGATTTTAAAAATACAACCCCAATCATAAACGCACTCATTAAATTAGCCACAGGATCACATCATATATAGAGAGTCCTGTATGTACACTAGCCGTTGTGTAGATGGTAATCTAGGCCAACTGTTGATCTAAACCCGACTGGAGAAAAGACAAGATTTGTTCCACAGAGTACATTCTGGGGTGAAAGTGCCTTGCCTCACACCACGAAAAATACACCTTCCAAGTGCAATGGTAGACGCTACAAGAGGTGCACTTCCAAGCCTTTAAAAGTGTATGGATTATCAAAGCAGAAAAGCCATTATCCTTTAGGACCTGAGCTTCAACAGCCAAGGTTTTTGGAATGTAGGGGAATGTGCTGGTTCACATGGGGGACCACCGAAGTGTGAACCACGGCTCTGAACCTGTAAAGCACCTCTGGTATTACAGGGTGCTCGCCTAATGCAGTATCTATTGTACAAATGCACATTGCAGGTCTTCATCACAGGCTATGTCAAGGATCAGCCGATTTGAAAGGCTGCAAATAAGCTCTACGATCTCTACAGCTATCAAAGAAACTTGCTAAAAGAGCTCTTATTAAAACAAAAAAGGTTTTCTGTGTAAAAAGTACATTTATTACCCATTGCAACCAGATAATCCCTTTTACTGTCTCACCTGTATTGAAAAAGGGGAGCTGGTTGCTATAATCAAAACATGGTACACACACTTTTTGTACATGCACCAAAATATCTAAACTCAGTACACAGCAAATGGGCATTATGCAGATAATGTTCCTCCCTCCCAATATTTTTTTTGCACTGTAATGATTTTCAATGGCCACTGTCTAGAAGGGCATTGAGGGCCACACAAAATTATTTTGAAATTGGATAAGAAAGAATCTGTTTATATTGTCCAATAAAAGGAATAAAAGATCCATAATAAAGACCTGTATGGAAAAGGAAGATCCGATAAGCCTAAAAATAAAGCTGGTCATGTCTTGAGCGAAAGTGAATTAAACCTTGAGAAGATTATTGTACTAATCCTTCAAGTCTCATTTTGAAGTCAAGACATCCAATCTACTGTATCCTTCCTGGGGAAGTGTACTCTCAATAAACGAACAAGCTAATGATAATAAACAAGGGAAACAACATATACACTTCTGCCTCTCATTACTACAGAATAAACCTAATCCTACAAATAAGGCTGTCTGCTATATAATTTATACATTTCAAAAATGCAGAGCTACATTGCTATTTAGCTTATTACAGACACTTGTAAATATTATTGGTGTTTATTACAGTTGTTATCACACTATTCCCATGTGCAGAAAGTTACCAGGTGATTAGTTTCGAAAAAGATGATTACTGTGACATTGAATCCCACTTTACAGACATTATTTACTGCACTTTATTGATTGTATATTTCCCATTTGTATGACTTTTATAGCCCTGTTATAATTTGTTACCAGTAATAATAATGAATGCTATTATTTAATGTGAACCTGGCAAAAACTGCCAAAGGTAACAGAAATGCTGAAATGTGGGCAAAGTTCCTGTGACATACTGCTCATACACATTTCAAATGTCCAAATCCATAAATTCACCATCCATACTAAACAGAATGGATGCGGGAATCCCCGCGGCTCCATTTGCTGCTGAATACCTGAAAATTGTGTGCATCTGATACTGTACTGCAGGTGCTGTTTGGCCAAGGATTTTTAGACCGCCTCCATCGACAAAAGTCAATTGCCAACAGGGCCACCCTTAGCTCATATTTTGTCTGATACGGTGGGAATCGGCCTCTCGAATCGTGAATTCGAGCAGTGCTTGGATAGTTATAGACTTGTTCGCTGAACACTGATCACTAGATTGATCCCTGTGAAGCCCTTGGGATTTTAGAACTCACATGCGTGTCAATTCTTCCAAAGTTCTAGACACCAAACCCTACTTCTTGCCACCTGCCAGAATCTTAGTAAGCAGTAGAGGCTTTAGCATTTGAGTGTTAAATAACAAAGGGTGAGGTATACCTCAGAGAGAAGTCAGTGCCTAATGTTAACTGTGGGAGGTCGAGGTCCTGTGTATTGCTTAGGGACTTCAGAGGGAAACAGGAATGAATGTAAGGCTAACACATGTATTTGAAACCACCATAGCAAAATGGCCACCATTTTAGGGCAGGTGATGTCCAATTTCATAAAACTAATCACATAGTAACAATATACTCTAAATACATTAGTTGTAGTTTGTTTAATCTCAGTAGGAGAAAACAGCAGTCAAGCTGCCTATGAGGCACTACAGGCAATACTGGACCACTACTGCAGTAGTAAAGGCTGATGACTGAGTTGAGAATGTTCAGCTCTCTTTAGTATAGATATGAGTGTGCTGCAGAAAAAAAACATATTTGAAGGCTACAAGCATGCATTTATAACATGGGGGGAGGGGAGGTTAGAGCTAGGAACTTTAGTCTTAAAGAGGAACTTTGGAGGAGTCTTTAATTAATAAGTATTTACTTAAAGTAGAACTGAAGCCCACACTTTTTTTTGGATAGAGTAAGGAAGGATCATAACCTCTGTCAACTTTTTTGTCTTTTGTGTGCCTTTGGAGAAATTTCCTTTCACTTCCTGTCTCATAGCCACAACAGAATGTGAGAGGAAATCCCTTCAAAGCGAGGAAAATCCCTGCTGGTCCGAAAGGTCACCAGAACAAGTGTCCCCATTGAAACATTTCCCATCTATTCCTGTTCTGATGACAGCCCAAAATTTGGAATGTTCTTTCACTTTCAGTGATAATGGTCCCTGGGACAAACAGAGAGGGTGAATATGTAAAATTACGGGCAGACAGCGGATGCTTCCCGGTGGGTGGACGCACATGATTTACTTCCTGGTTGCGAGTGCCCCCTAGTGGGTGCGTGCATACTGGACCCCACTGGGAATCTAAATAGCCGTTGCCGGCTTTTATATACAATCATTCGGCCGGCCCTACAGCCAACCGATCACTTGTATTACCATGACAACTGTCGCCCCCCCCTTCCCCGTGGTGCCGCGCTCCCCTCTCCCTGCCGGTTATATCCCGGGCTACGCTGTCCCTCCTGCGAGCCCGGGATCGGCACAGCGACTGCCCGTACTGAGAAGGAGGAGAGATCAGCATTTCCCCCACCGCTGATCTCTCCTCCTTCTCTCTCTAAAGTCGGAAGCGATGCATATTACATCACTTCCACCTTTAGCTGTCATTT